AGCTGGAAGCTATTTAGACAGAGACAACACTAGGAAAATATGTGTATGTGTGAAATCAGTGAAAGTTTTCTGACAGTGTCAACATTTTTCATGCTTAAATGAGTATTCAAGGTTGATATTTGGCTATGAACAATAAAGAGATCACCTCTGAATCAAAAATAATGCTTTGAGTTTTTAGAAAGAAGTACCATATATAAATATGCTGATCAATCTTTGGAGAACTCCAAAAACTAGCATTATAACTAGGAAGGAAATAACTTTATTAGAATCCATTCCCCAGGTTATCAGGCCTCCAGAAACAGAAAAATATGATTATTTGCCCGCCTTAAATTGTATATAAGTCCTCCAGGGGACTGGCTAGATGAACTCTTTCCATGACTTTTAGGTAATAGATAATGAGAAAAATCTGTGCTTCTCATGTTTTACTTTTAATCAAAACCAAAAAACTTGAGCCCTTGTCCATAATCATTTTATTTTATCTTCATTACAAAGTAAAATTAAACTTATATAAAACCAAGATGTAGCATTTAAATGTCCCAGCTAAGTAAGACAGGCTGATACAGTTAAATGCAGACCCCTCTGAAGCGCTATCTGTGGAAAAAGAAAACCAGCTTTGGAAGTGACATACTATCCGGGCATATTCATGCTAATTAAGGAGGTTGAGGAATCCTATCAGGGTTTATAAGCCAAAGTCACCTATTTTAGAGCGAGGATCCCCAGATAGGGAGCATAGACAGAAGAAATCCCATCAGCTGGGAATGGTCACTGTGAAGATTAACTCTTTGCAAAAGGTAGTGAGCACCCCTAACGCCCTGCTGGTGAGTACAGAGCATCTCCACCTCTCTGCCTTTTTATTACCAGGAGCAGGGTGCAAAGATTCCCGAGGCCCAAGGCAAGTGGTGTAGTGAACGTGCACCACAAAGACCAGAAGGAAAGCTCTGGAAACTGCTGGATCATCAGATCAATAGTCTCAAAGATGACTAAGTTCAGTTGCTTTATGCAGTTTAAACATTTGTGCAGGGAGTCTTCCCCTCACAGTCTTTTATTGACAGCTACAGATCAATGGTAATTTTTGATCATTTTCAACTTACATAAACCTATTGACCCCAGGGCCACCTTTGGGGCACTTCAAGTCGTCAAAAATAATCAGAGGAGATGGTGTAAAATTGTCAAACTGCTGAAGACTCCAAGTAGCTTCTTGTGCTCCCAGGAGCAGAATTGAGGGGTTAGAATGTAGTTCAGGCCCTCCCTGGTGGTGCATCAGGTTAGAAATAGCACTGCAAGCTGGCTGCAAGTTCGATCCCCGCCCCGGAGCTGACCCCCATGGTGCAGGCAGACCTCTCCTGACCCGCCAACTGCTCCCCTCAGCAGTGTCAGTCTGCCTGTTCTGCTCCCCACCCTGTCTCTGGTGAATCCTCTCACTGCCCCTGCACCTCTGGCTTGTACCCCAGTTTTGTATGAATAAGTAAATAAATCTAAAAAAAAAAAAGAATGTAGTTCAAATTACCAGCAGAACCTCTCCACTGGCCAAGTGTTACAGAGAGTCCTGTCTTTATGGCTCACAAAGGATGTGCTGATTTGTGTCTAGAATCTGACCCGCATGTATCTAAGATTTTTAAGCATCAATCTCATTGCAAGTATTAATTCCTGAGAATGGATCATTCCTGCTTTCCTTCATTGAGTCATTCTTTTCATAACTGCCTAGCAAAAAAGGTTGGATATTTCTAGAATAAAATAAAGTATGAATATTATATAATGTGGACATGAGAAAGGAAGCAAGTATTAGCTGGCAACCCAGAAGTCAAGATATAACAAAGACTCGGTAGGAGGGATGAATTTAAGGGGTCATGTGAGCGAAAGAATGACTTGAAGAGTAAGAGCACTGAGTTAGCATCTCTCTCAAGGGGAAGGAGGGTTTAGTTGTCCATAAAGATCTTTTCTAACCAGTGGGGCAGAATGTTACCTCTTCAAAGAAGGATTTGAATCCAGAAGAGTTAGGCTCATGAGTGCTCAAGCTAGTCCTCTTAATTTAAGGAAAATAGCAAGTAATTGAATCAGTGCACAGGTACATCCAAGCCACAGAGTGAACTGTGCCCAAATTTTACACCAGGTTCTAAACAGGAGAACTCTGATGTCTCTGATGAGACAAATTCAGGAGAGAATAATTATCTCCTAAAATGATGAAGAATAAAATGACAAAGATTGTTTTACCCTGAAAAATTTTCTTCTTTTTCTTATTTTAATTGGTGTGGCCTTTCCTAAAGTTTGACGAAAAGTGTGGCTGTTCATGAGGTATAGTTAATAATGTATACGTGTGCGCTGTAATTCCTCAGAGGTAGCAATATATGAAGGGACTCTCCTTAATAGAAATTTATAAAACACAATTTCTCCTTTCCATCCCAAAAACAAAAGATGGCCATAGACCAAATCCACATAAACAACTGTAGTCACTAGCAGTGAGGGCATGCCTCTAAACATCCCTCTGCCCACCGGGCACACACTCCCACCCAAGACCAGTAGGTCATATTTCTACACTGGTGGAGGTTTGAAGCTAGGGCATTTTGAGCACTTCTGCTTTCAAGGATCGGAGCCATAAATGTTTATTAAAAGAATCTATAATGAAATCAGTTTTATTTTTTTAATGGTTGCCTGGAGTGTGTTGGATGGCTGAATGCCGGTTGTTAATCATTAAGTACTCGTGTTACCAAAAGTGTTTGATAGCATTGCCATCTAGGGGCTGAATGGAATTCTCAGCTCTGAAATAAACTGTAATTGAGCAGGTGCTGCTATTGACAATATACATATGTTTTTGCTTTACAGCCCACATGCTTTTCATGTTTCTTATGACAAAAGCTCTCTCTAAATGTCCCCCGCAGCCTAACTTTTTTATATGTAATCTGTTAGAGGTGATTACTATTTGCTTTGGAGCATATGCCTATTTGGCATCTATTACTGGATATTCTGAACAAAGAATTTTTCTTTTTTGCATTATTAATCTTGTCCATGTTTGCCCTGTTTCCACAGAAAAGGAATCATTTATCAGAAAAGAATGTTTGTAATCGGGACTTGTAGCATCTCCCAATTTAATATTCATTATGGTCATCCTAGTTCAGTGCTATATTTATCTAAAAGACCAATCCAATGTTGTGGAGAAATAAGCTTTAAATATTTATGATCTAACTTTTAATATTTTAAAAAAGAGAAATTAGTATTTCTGTAAAATTTGTTTCAGAGTCTGGCCGCTTAGCAAATGTTTAAATATTAAAAGATTTCAAGAGGTTAGCATGTAATATCATAATGGGACTTATTGAAACAGGAAAATTGACTTTACAAGTTTTCAATAAGTAAAGAAAATTGTATTTTCTCTGCCTGTGTTTAATACATAATAAGAAACATTTAAGCAGTTGAAACTTAAAGCTAAGAATGCAAGGAAAACATACCCAAACTAATTCTAAAGTGTGTTTTGGCTTTGACTAATCAGGTTTGGTTTAGTTTTATAAAATGGTCTAGTTTAAAATTGCCACCTTGTACTAGAATTTATTCAAAATGGTACTTGAGTCCCCGCCAAACACACACTTAAACAGAATTTCCTTACATTTTTTTTTCCTTACACGTATCTTTGTCCTGTGCTCTAAGGTACCATTGTTCCAGCTCCCATTCCTCCTCCAGTGCCCAACAAAAGGACAATTGAAACCTGTCACGTCTAAACAGCTAATAAACTAAAGCTGATCTCACACACCATTGAGCATAAATATCCTATTAAACCAGTCAAAAGTTCCTCGCGATCACTCACATGCAGTGGTTATGGCACAAGCCGAAAGTGTATGCAGGTACATGTGTGTGTGTGTTTACCTGTGTGCCCATTACGGGTGCACTTGCAGACATAATTCCTATCTGTAAGTGTCACAGCCGAAGCCATACAGAAGTGGAGAGCAGCCCTCAGGGTCTTTGAAAACACTCAGATGCTTAGTTCCGGTTTACTTACACACACACACACAAAAAAAAAAAAAAAAAAATGTTAAATGCTCTTGTCTAAGCAGAAAATAAGCTAATGCTGTCCTTATTTTTTTTCTTTCATACCCACAAAAACCCAAATTCTCAAAACCTAGCTGATATTTACTTTGGGTAAGTTTTAGTTATGGAGCTTTAAACAAATGAGAACATTTCCACTTTTCTGTTGATAGTAGGCCTTGCGAGGTGTTTGTGCACGTGGAGTTCAGTTGACTTGTTTTCTGGTGTGTGTTTTACTACATTTGTAAGATATAAACACACACCAAGAGAATTAGTAAAGGAGATGGAGGAGATGGAGAGCTCCACATGGATAAAGAAATATATTTGGAGACAAAAGAAAATCATGTGTGTTCAGGTTAAACCTCCAAAACCCTAGTGTGTCTCCTTTGCTGTTATGGAACTTGATGCCCCAATTGCTACCCTGAGCTGATGCAGTAAAAATCTGAAGCAACATAGAAGCTGAAGTCACATATCACATAATTTGGGCTTCAAGGCCTGAGATCCCACTACAAGTCTTCCACCAGGGACCCACAAAAAAGGGTCAGAAATGGCCAGACAAATGTGGGAGGAAAAGAGCAAAATCAAAATCAAGATAAATGCTGTCATAGTGAACCTCCGCACAGGTCTCTCACCCACATCTGTTTCAACCAGCCCAGGGCCAAGAAAAAAGAGCTGCTTCTTCACATGTCTCTGCTCCATGTGTCTCCCCCACGTCTCCTTCTGGCTCTCCATCCTGCTTCTTTCCTCCTCAGTCTCCTCTCCAGATTCTTCTCCTCCCTGCTCAGCAACACCCTCCTTTGACTGGGGCAGGGAACCTGGAACCTCCCCTTTTCCTGGGACCACCCTGTTTCAAAGCCACATTATTTCCTCACCAATTCAAAACTTGCTGTGGTATTTGTACTGGCATTGCTGATGTGCTGTGATCAGAGAATGACCTTTTACGAACTATGAACCATTTCTGAAAAACTATGCTGCTCATTTTCTTACAGGGAACAAGTCATCAAGCCCACCTATTTGGGCTAGAACCATTCACAACTTATCATATTGGGGTTGTGGCTGCAAACCAGGCAGGAGAAGTTTCAAGCCCCTGGACTCTGGTTCGAACCCTAGAATCTTCTCCAAGTAGACTGAGAAACTTCACAATTGAACAGAAGGACAACAGCCAGGCATTGTCCCTGAACTGGTCAGAGCCTGTGAGAACCAATGGTGTGATTAAGGTAATGTCTACCCTGAATATGAAATCGTGTGTGGTATTCTCCAGATAAATAGATGAGCCCTGACATGCCATCAGGTCACTGTGAGAAGCTCCCTTCACAGGCTGTTTAATTCTCCTTGATGACTCCTCCAAGCATTTCATCAGAGAGCACAGAAAACTAGCTCATGTGCATTCTGATTGTGCTGAACCCAGCACTGTGAAAAGTGCTCTCTGTGGATCATCTGACTTAATCCTCTCATCAGTCCCACTAAGTAGATACCACTAAATCTCAGGGGCACATAAAGGCTAACTAGCTGCCCAGGACCGCATTGCAAAGGATCAGTGGTTGGGACTGGCAGCCGGGAGGTCACAACCCAGCTGAACTCTGGCTGTGTTCCACCCGCTTCCAGACTCTCCCTGCTGGGCATGAACTGAGTCTGGCTGGATATGCACTTTGAACAGAACTTGCTAAGCACTAAACATCCTGCTAACTCTCTTCCTCCTGTAGCCATGAAAGTTTTTCTTTTTCATTGATTCTTAGTGATTCAGCATCCATTCATTTGAGAGTTCAATTCCCACCTCGACGTGGGAATTTGCTTTACCACCATTGAAGTTAGTTGTGGCCCTGCACTACTGAACTGATCCCTCTGCCCACTGAACTGACCCTCTTCCTCTTCACCTCTGGAAATCACACTTTCACTAGGTCTGATAGTTATTTTGATTGTGTTTTGTTAGTTCATTCCCTTTGTTTATAGTCCACAAATTATTTACACAAACTATCATGTCTTTCACATTCTGACTTCTGTCACTTAGCATAATCGCCTCAAAGTCCACCCATATTGCCACAAATAGCAAGACTTTATTTTTAACAGCTGAGTGGTGTTCCACTGAGAATATATTCCACTTTTTTTTTTTTTCGGTCCAGTCATCCATCAAAGTGCATCAAGGTTTATTCCATGCCTTGGCTACTATACTTAATGCCACTGGCATAGGGACACAGGTAGCTTTCCCTATCTTTTCATATTCGTCAGATAAATATTTAGGAAGAGGTCATATGGAATGTCCATTTTTAGGTTTTTAAAGAATATGAGAAAGTCTCATTAATGTCACAACAGCCTGTGACCACAAATGAGGTACAAAATCTTCCAGGAAGGCAAAAGTGATGGGTCCCATTTGCTAGGGAAAGAGCTTCTTCAGCCACAGCAAACAGAGGCAGGAAGTCATGTAAGTGCAGATTCACACAGACATGCTGGCAGTTACACATGCCATGACAACACTCCTTTCTCAGTGCTTCCACTGTCTCAGTAAATACGTGGTTATGTCCACAGCCAGCTGAGAAGGGGGGAAGAGAGTTTGGGTGGTTAGTGGGGAAGAGAGAAGCAATGAAATAATCACTCTGAAAAGCCAGAGAGTGAACAGTTGGGGAAACAGGACTCTAAGTTGGTTATCACATGTTTAGAATTTAGGGTAAGAAATTTGAAGTGAGACCCAAACCCAATGGGGAGCTTGGATACAAAAGAAGAGCTGAATTTAACAGTAGTTAGTGATTGACCAAGAGAGTGAGCAGCGAGGGCGGGCAGGCAAGATTCAGAGTGGTTTTAGAAGCGGCTATGAAATAAATGCAAGTTTCTTCAGAAAAGACACTCTTAGGGGTGTTGTCTTGCCCCAAGGCCCCAACATGAAAATCCTAGCAGAATACTACCATACAACCTAATTAGATTACCATAGTGTTAAGATTATAAAAGTTTTATGATTCCAAATAGATGTAAGCTATGTAATCTTAAATAAAGCTCATGTGTATCAACAGTCCAGCTAAGGTCCTTCCCCAGGAAACACCTATAGGAAACTTTCAAGGCAGCTGTGCCCCGCCCCCCATGGGACTCTGACATGTGTCTCCCCTTTGGGGCTACAGCATCCTCGGGGGTCACCGAGGCAGAAATGTATCTCGCCTCTCAAGTGCACTGAGTAGGACACCACTGCTCAAAAACATTAAGTTACTTCTCATTTTCCCTAAAGAACAAGGAATATATAGGATAAGAAAATTATGTTTAATTTATTTGCAGGTGGTTTTCCCAGAGCAGAAGACTCCTTTGCTCCAAAGTATTCTTCCATGGCTGGTGAGAGCAAGCAAGATTTTCTCCCATTTCCTGGTCATCTTGTGTCTATATTTGCGTGTGTGTAGAATGTCGACGCATACGTGAGAGCCGGAATAGTACTGCCTCCGCCCAGGCAAACAACTAAGAACCCTAGTGTCAGCCCCCTGTATATAGCGTCGGAGAGAGAATGGGGAACAGATCAGAGTGGGTAATTCTTACAAAGTAGGAGATTTACATTCCTGACTTCTAAAACATAAAAATAGGAGGGAACCCCAAGAATACTAAGTTGTAAGTTGGCCCCCAGCTTAATGACTTAATGACTTCAACTGTGGATGGGGGGAATGGATAAGATTTCAGTAGAAACTCTATGTCAAGTTTTGAATGAGACATTTTGGTTTCAGTTTCTATACAGTTTTCAACAAATGAGGCAAGAAAGTCAGCACTTTCTTCTAGCATAAGCTTTCTGTTAGGCGCTTCGCCCCGCCTCGGTGACTGCAAGTGTTCTGAGCACAGGGGAGGTAGGCCAGGCCAGGCTAAGCTGTGATGTTCAGTAGGTTAGGCGTGTTAAATGCATTTTTCACTTGCGGTACTTTCAATTTAACAAGAGGTTTGGCAGCATGGAATTTCATTGTAAGTGGAAGAAACTCTGTAGTTAAGTCCAGGAAGCAAGTCTTACAAATATATGTGTACAAGATCTTCCACCTTAAAAATAAAGACACCATTCCTCCTTCTGTGGACTTTACATGAACTGGAAAAGCTCGCACCCCCAAAATTAAAATCAGAATTTTTTTTTTAAAGATTTATTTATTTGTACATATAGAACTGGGGTACAGGCCAGAGGCTCAGGGGCGGTGAGAGGCTTCACCAGAGACAGAGACAGGCAGATCAACGAAGTACACTGCTGAGGGGAGCAGCGGGCGGGTCAGGAGAGGTCTGCCTCACCATGTGGTCACCTCCGGGGCAGGCGGGAATCGAACTCATGCGGAAGTGGCTTTAGCTTCTTAGTGCTGTGCTTTAATCTGCTGCGCCACCAGGGAGGGCCAAAATCAGAATATTTTTTTCTGAACTAGAGGCATGAAGATGAGGATGAACTAGCTTAAACTAACTCATCTAGCTTAAACGAAAGCAACTAGTTAAAAGGGATGAACTAGCTCACCAAGAACACCAGAGGCCTCAAATTGTCTCCCTTTGCTCCTCTCCTTCCTGCAGGCTTACCACGTCCTCAGAGACAGCGTGCTGGAGTACTCTGGCCTGAAGCGCCCCTTCCTCTTCCGGCGCCTTCACCCCTTCACACTCTACACACTGACCCTGGAGGCCTGCGCTGGCGCTGGCTGTGCACACGCGGTGCCCCGGCCTCTGCAGACGGGTGACGCCCCTCCGCACTCGCCGTCTGCTCCTGCCATCCAGTCTGTGGGTCCCACCAGTGTGGAGCTGAGCTGGACTCAGCCTGTAAATCCAAATGGAAAGATACTCCGCTATGAAGTGGTGCGCAGATGCTTCCGGGAAGGAACTGGGAGGAGTCCGGCAATCCCTGCAGAGGAAAAAATAGTTTTCACAGAATATAATACTGAAAAGGAGACCTTTATGTATAATGACACAGGTTTGCAGCCATGGACGCTTTGTGAATATAAAATCTATGTTTGGAACTCAGCAGGCCAGACCTGTGGCTCTTGGACTATGGTAAGAACAAAGCAAGCACCCCCAGAAGGTCTTTCTCCACCCAAGATAACCTATGTGTCTACGAATCCCAACAAGCTGCTGATTTCCTGGATCCTTCCAGAACAATCTAATGGTGTCATGCAGTCCTATAGGCTTGTAAGGAACGGCCTGCTCCTTCCTTTCAGCTTTGACGCTGTGACTTTTAACCACACGGATGATGAGCTGCTTCCGTTTTCCAAATACAGCTATGCACTCAGAGCCTGCTCTGGGGGAGGCTGTGCCACGAGCAGTCCTGCCAGTGTCACTACTTTGGAGGCTGCTCCAGCTGGGCTCAGCCCTCCGGCTCTTAAAGTCATTGGGGCCACCCAAATAAATGTATCTTGGTCCCCACCATCAATTCAGAATGGAAAGATCACTCAATATTTACTGCGGTGTGACGGCAGGGAGTACCCAGCAGAGCAGGGCCTGAACCTGCTGGTCTCCCAGCTGCAGCCTCACACTCAGTATAATTTCTCGCTCGTGGCCTGCACACTTGGAGGCTGCACAGTTAGCGAGCCCCAGTCTGCCCGGACCATGGAGTCCCCGCCTCAGTACATGGACCCCCCGAGACTGCAAGTCACAGGCTCAGCATCCATAGAAATCACCTGGAGCCCTCCCAGAAATCCAAATGGCCAGATCACAAGTTATGAACTGCGGCGAGACGAAGCCCTGGTGTACACTGGTCTGGGCACCCACTATCACGATGTCTCCCTCGCCCCAGGTGTGGAATACGGCTACGCAGTGGTTGCCAGCAACAGTCAAGGTGGTGTTTTGAGTCCAGTCGTGAAAGAGCAAACCAGCTCTTCAGCACCCTCAGGCCTGGAACCCCCCGAACTGCAAGTCAAGGGTCCTCACGAGATCTTGGTGACTTGGGACCCTCCAGTGAGGACAAATGGACACATCGTCAACTATACCCTCTTCATCCATGAGCTGTTGGAAAGAGAAACAAAATCCATCCACACAAACTCAACTCATGAAGCTGCAGGCACCCAGTCGCTCATAGTAAGCCAGCTAAAGCCATTTCACAGGTGGGTAGCCACCCAGGCTAAGCCCTCAGTCGGTTTGAATGAAGATTCTAGAAGCAAAGTTGTGTGCTGTCCCCAAACCCCATGCTCCTAACCAACCAGTAGACAAACCACCCAGTCCAAACCTGCTTGCATAACTTCTAGAGCAAAATGCTCCCAAGCTGGTGATTCCCCACATTGTCTGGACCAAAGAGCCTAGAGATGGGGCCAGGTCCCTAAATCTTAGTCCCTCCTAGAAGCTCACAGGTCCCTGGACAGCTCTGAGAGCCCCAGATGAGTTACTGAATGAAAATGAGGTATTAAGTTAAAGTAGGAAAAAATGCCAGTGAACAGGAGCCTCTACCCAAGCTAAGGCCCACTAAAGCTGCTTCTGGGGAGCCCCCTTCTTATGGAATCCAGCTCTTGTCCAGGATAATGAGGCTCCTCTGATTATTCCCTCAGTCTCCTAGACGTCCCCTGCTCTGACCTCATGGCTTCTCAGAATGATGCTGCTTTGCTCCTGCCTATTTTTGTTGTGGGCCCCTCTGGGCTTATAGACGTGTGGGTGTGTGTTACCTTCCATGCTAGGGAAGCTTCCCAGCAGCCCATAGATTAAATAATTGCTTGGCACTTTTCCCCATCACATTTTAAGTAAGTTACATCCTCAGAGAGAAGAGTAATAAAAGACATTTTATGCTTAAAATTTAGTAAAATGAACAGAACCACTTTAAAAATATTAAAGGATGAAAGTGTTGATTTTCAACCACCATAGGTAAAATTCAGCCATTATTGTAATCTACAGGTCGGGTCCTCCTATAATTATCTTTGATATACAGTGCTTTTGAGATGAAACACTCACCGTCTTTTGTGTCTACATGTGACAATTATTTAGGGCCACATTAAATATTAAACAGTAATTAAACCTTCCATAGGTAATTTCTGGGCTAATCCACATGTGGGATGGCTGGATTTTACTTCACCCTGTTCAGGGCAGTAAATATGGCCGCTGAAGATAGTCTACTCATTTTATACTGGCTTCCTCATGGCCTGACTGGTTCCCTGCAAGTTTTCAAGTCAGATCAACTTACTGCTTCTTGAAGCTCTTACTCAAAAAGATTCCCAAGGAAGGAAAAGATATCCAGATGTGAAAGGAGCACTTTTTTCCCAGACTAGAAAAATAAAGTTTGATTGATCAGACAAACCCAGCAAAGATTTTTTGTAGAAAAGAGATGTCTTTTCATCATCCACAATAAATGAAGATGTAAGTGAAATGATTTAAAACAGAATACCACCTCCAGGGTGAAGATGAGGCTCATGTCATTTTAGATTTTTCCAGCAGATTAATATTTACTGAGTATTGCACATTCATTGGTGTTTCCTTGCTGTTCCAACCCTCAGCTGGCCACGATCACCCTAAGTGGCAGAAAGGAAGTGACCCAGACATTTATTTTTAAAGATTTATTTATTTGTACATACAGAATTGGGGAACAGGTCAGAGGCTCAGGGGCGGTGAGAGGCTTCACCAGAAACAGAGTGGGGAACAGAACAGGCAGATCGACGAAGTACACTGCTGAGGGGAGCAGCG